TTTTTTTTTTTTTTTTTTTAATTAAAGAAAAAAAGAAATATAAATCAAAATTTAATACCAATATTTATGAAAAACGTAACGAATCTAAAGTAAATATTTAAAAAGAAAAAAAAAACAACGAAAAAATCAAAGAGAAAAAGAAAGGATTGAAAAAGAAAAAAGTAAACAAAAGTAAAAATGAGAAATGAAGTCGTAAAATAATCGCGAAATATGTACGTGTCACGTGGCAATGCGAAAAAGCTCTCGGAGTACTCGATATATCCGATGCATTTTTCCGAAGATGCACTGGTCAGAAGGAGTGCATTGTGAAGAGGGCAGGGATGACCCCTTTCACTGTACCACGTTAGTACGGTCGCGTATATAAAGAGCCGAAGCATCTAACGATGAAGCACAAGTACCAACCCATCTGTATCCTAAGCTCCCCGACCGGTGTCAGTGTGACCGAAAGAGATTATGTACACTATTAAGGTAGGTAACTTGACTTTCTCACTTTATCTTAATCTTCAATTATCTATTTATCTGTCCATCCATCCATCCATCCATCCATCTATCCATCCCATCCATCTCTTTTCTATTCATTCTATCTCTCTTACATTTCATGTCTCTTTCTACTTTATTATTATTTTTTTTTCTTTCTCTTTCATATTCTGTTATCGTTATCTTTGTAAATCCTCGGCGCGTGCGGCCACACGCGCCACAAATAAGAAAAAGATAGACGCTAGGTGTTATTAAGAATTCGTTCTAAGCTAACAATAAGATACACAAGTATCAAACCAGTGTTTAACACAACAAGAAAACACGATCTATTATAACTCTACGATCAATCCGTCTCTACGTTCTTTTCTATCATATTTCTATTTCTTATTAACATGTATGTATAACATATCTTGTTGTTGCTTTTTTCATTTGCTTTTTTTTTTATTTATATTTAAATCGTTACGTCGAACGATTTTTATATTTTGTGTCATTCTCATATACTTTATGTGAATTTTCTCGTTTAGAGAATCGAATCATGGGGTGTCGATTGATTTCAAAAACGAAATATCGTCTACCTGTCACAATCACAGTAAAATGTTGCTCACTCTCATTCTTGAATTTTTTGTTCTTCTTTTTTTCAATTGTTTGTTTTTTTTTCTTCGATCACGAATCGTTACTAATGTTACTATGATGATTTTTCACGATTTAAAACTCACATTCGTTAACGATCCTCCTTCTCCTCCTATCTGCGAATACTACCTCTCTGTTTCTTTTTTGCATAAATCTAGAAAAATATTTTTCATCGCGCATTCCAACTTTTGATACTTTTTTACTATCAGCCTTGATAGAAATATTGCAAAAAAAAAAAAGAGAAAAAATAAGAATCACGAGAAACGTTAGAAAAAAAAATAATAATCGTTGATACCGTTGCTAGTTTCGCATTAAAGAAAAAATTATATATAAATGTGTATATAAGTAAGAAATAAAAAAAAAAGTAGAAAACAAAATACATTTCCATTAGATCGTTCGATGATCGGTGACGGCGGAGGCGGCAAAAGCATTACGTGCTATGGTTTCCGCGAACTTCGCTCATGCAAACGATAAAATTTGTTTATAACTATGAATGTCTCAACGACGTAATGCCGCACAAATCTTACGCAGTGTTCCTTAAGTATTTCGCAATATCCTCTGGTTCATATGAAACACGTGATAGCCTCCCTCTTTCTCTTTCTTTCTTTTATTATCTTTCACTCGCAAGATTTAAATTTCATTTCACCAGATATAAAGCAAAAATTAAATTAGTATGATAAAATGAAGTAAAACATTGATAGTAATATGATCGAACTCTATCATTGATTAGAATTAATGAAACACACACACATTAATCATTTTTTTTTCTTTTTATCCAAATATTGAAAATATTTTCTTCACGTTTTCTCTTATAAAAATAATATTGTGCATTTTTTTTCTATTTATTTGAATTTGCCTTTTCTTTATGAAAAATGAAAGTTGTGACGTGTATAAAATTCGAACATATTATAAAAAGGGTATAAAATTTGGAAAAATAATTAATATTACAACTACGAATAATTGATAATTGCAAAATATGAAATAACCGAGATGACACGTTTTCACCGTGTAATGGCATTCGTTTAAGCAATAATATGCGACATCAATGAGACGCATAGAACATTTAGTTACGCACACGCACATTTCTCTGGGTGAACGTATCTTCTTCTTCTTCTTTTTCTTTTTCTTCTTCTTCTTCTTCTTCTTATTCTTCTTCTTATCTGTTAATTTTTTCCTTCGAAATATTCTTCTCAATTCTCGCGCAATTTCGTCGTATTTTCTTTGAAAAGAAGAAAAAAGAAAAAGAAACGGGGGAAAAAATATTAATCTTTGAAAAAAAAAGAAGACAAATAAAATTAAGCACGCGTTCAATGAAAAAGATTAATAATATTGCTCGGTTGATTACGTTTTATTGCCTGGTCATGTAACTTATCGGACATGTATGCAGAAAAATAATTGAAAAATACGATTGTAACTCATACGATCTCACTATCTATCGTATTACTTCTTCATTATTTTTTTTTCATACATGCATATATATAAACATATATATGTGCATGTATATGTTTTTCAATGACTATATCCTTCATTAGGTGACTGGAACGATATCATTGTCATTGAACACGTCGCGTTGTACACCTGTCTTCCTGTCGATCCCACTAGACGCTTTTTCATTTTTAATTCAATTTTTCTTTTGTTCTTTGGATAAGACTAACAAGAAGACCACATATTGAAAACAAAAAATTCAAAACTACCATAGCTAGAGATACCATTGCGACCAATCACAAGAAATTCTTTCGAAGGATCGAAGGTAGATCCTGTTGCAAGATTATGGAAAAATGTGACTTTCAAATGGGAAAAATTTGAAGTGCCTCGAGCACGCCCGATGCATCTTCTCTTTCTATCTCTCTCTTTCTCTCTGTAACTTCATGCACCGAGTCTCCTGCATGATCATTTGACCTTATGAATGGAAGGAGCATCCTCCTGCAATGTCGGTTCTTCTTTTTCATTTTTTTTCTTGTTCATCCTCTCTCGTTCTTTCATAATCCTGTCTCCTATCTCTTATTACACGTTACTCAGAACCGGTGGATACGCCATCATTACCGGGTTGGTAATTCCTATTTCAACTCGTGCAACACTTATGAAATTTTCCGCACTTTGTCATATTTCTCGCTCGTCAAGCGTAATAACTAACTTACGAATCGATTAGCATTTTAGATATCAATGATAACTACGTGCCAATTGGTTACTATGTTTCGTGTAATCGTTAGCGATAACGTTGAATGAAAAATTGGCGAAGAAAAAGAAAAAGATAGAAAAATATCATCCTATAACATAACTCGCGTTAAATTATTACTATGAAAAATGTATGTTTTCGTTGAAATTCAATCATATTAATGTTAAATACTAGAATTAAGACAATTTTTTATTTTTTAATTACAAAATAAAATAAAATTTTTCAAATCAAATAAAAACACAGAGATCAACGTTTCTTTCATCATTAAGAGAAGTAAATTACATGACTCGTTTTATTTCTAAGAAGGGAGAGAGTATTAAAGAAAAATATGCACCTACTTTGCGTACACTTGGTACCACTTTTGTCTTGGCATTACGTTGTATATTTCATAATGTCATTTGCAATGACGTAACACTGCGCTCTCTCGGTGCAGTCTCTTTATATCTCTTCGTATCTATTGTATCTCTCTCTCTCTTCTTCTTCTTCTCTCTAAGCATTATCATCTTCAGTTGCCCTTTTGCAGACACGTTCCACTGTGCCACGCCATGACACGCGCGGTCGTTACTTTCACGAATTCTATGAATATTTGAGCGTACCCGAAAGCTATTACAAACGGTATTTTCAATACAAAGCGGCCTTTTGTTTCTCTCGGGAATACCATAGACTAACGTTGTTGGCCGACCAATTTGTTCGTTTCTCAATCGACTTTACTAATTCGATCCAAGTGAAAAATTTAAATTTAAAAGTGACGATGAATGTGTTACGATTATACCGATCCTTTTTCACTCCTACACACATATCTTATATTTCTTTTTGTTTTTTTATTGTTTTTTTGTTTGTTAAAAAACTTTTCTAAGCACACACCTTCGTTCTTGTTCTGACGATATCGAATAATATTCATCACATCGTGTTTAACATCTATTATTCGCATAAGTCTGTTGAAAGTATGAAAAGAGTAATTAAAACGCAAATGTGTTCGAATAATAAGAAGATGGCACCATCTAATGAAAATAACACGAATGTTATTGCAGGTGTTGGTGTGTCTCGTACTTTGTACGGCAGGAACCTTTGGCGCACCTCAACGACCATCGGGTGGCGCTGACAAGGATGCGGTGATTACGTCTCAACAACTCGAAGTCAATTTCGATGGCAATTACGTAAATAAGTAAGTCGAGACGAGACAAGACGTTCAACGTTCAAATCGAAATAATTTTAACTAGGATAAGAGAAATGTTCTGTCAGTATATCTATTCTATATTCGAGAATATCATAAGTTGTCACACAAACCTTTCTCTTTTCGAACAAACGGATCATTCTTTTTATAAACGTCGATTAAAATTCTCTTAATATTTTCTAATTCGAATATTAAAAATTAAACAAAATTATCTTGTGTATTTTAAAAAAGTGTTAGGAAAAAAAAGAAACACAAAATTGAAGAAAGTACAATCGATAGAATACTTCTTTCTTCTACTAGATCTCTCAGGTAATCGATAGACATCTGATCGAAAGATCACAAACTATAAGAATAGATCCGTAGAGTCCTATTTCGCATGGACGAACGCAGGTAGTTTCAAAGTAGTGACCGGTATCCGCATGGCATAACGTTAAAATGCGGCTTCTATTAGCATACAAGAGAAAAGTTACAATGGGCAAAAGACAAGAAAATAAGTAGTAACCTGCCTAATGACGTTCGGCCCGTTCACACGCGGACGCGCATGATTCTCGCCCACACTGACGACGATCAAGACGACGATGACGATCCTTCTCGTTGTTATTTTTTCTCTCTTTCTTTTCTTTTCTTTCCTTTTTGTTTGAAATACTGACACAAGATTCTAAGAGTATTGTTAACCGCGAGTAGGTCGTGTTACTTGTTGCACCATACGATTCCTTTTATACACGAATATATACATATATATAAATATTTCTTTACTTTATCCTATTTACCTATTATCCTATCAGTTTATTGAATTATTTCCTAACTTGTCGTTCAGTTTCGAAACGAGCAACGGCATCAGCCATCAAGAATCCGGCCAACCAAAACAAGTGGACAACGAGACTCCAGTAGTCTCCCAGGGTTCGGACTCTTACACGGCACCAGATGGACAACAGGTTAGCATAACGTACGTCGCTGATGAAAATGGATTCCAGGTTCAAGGTTCGCATATCCCAACGGCACCACCAATACCTCCTGAGATCCAAAGGGCGCTCGAATGGAACGCGGCTCACCCCGAGGAGGATGATGGTGGTCAAGCCAGACCGAACCCGAGAGGTAATCTTTTTCTTTCTCTCTCTCTCTCTCTCTCTCTCTCTCTCTTGAGAATTAAACTATTCGGAAATACGGACTATCCTCCCCCTAACCATTTCTCCTTCTTTGTACTGTGGTGGTTTTCATTGGATGCTCGTTTAAAAGGGCAACCCAAATCTCAACTCAAGTCTCTGATCGATGCTAACTACTTTACCGTGGCTTTCTTCGATACCCCGTTCCTATATACTTCTTGCCCATTACATTTGTTTCCTTTTACCTTCCCGTTCAAAAGCTTTTGAGAACGATTGATTCCTATGGAATCCTACTGACCACGAGACCCGGTTAACCCAACTTTCCTGCTGCTGTCGATTTCTTCCTTTATTTCAACTAACGAGAAGATATCGTTTTACGATATATCAGTAAAATTTCATTAATCCATTGTCAATATTATCTCATGCAAATTGTTTTCCCATTATTTTGTTCCTTCTGAAAGAAAAGACATTTTTGTTTTAAATCTCTTTGTTTATTTTCTCTTACAGGTTAAACAGCGAAATTTTACCTCAAATGTGACCTGATTCCAAGCCAGCTTGCCATGGATAGAACCGACCCTCGAGCTACCTACGCAAACCATAAAAATAAATATAGTTTGGTATATTAATCTAGGATTATACACGTAACCGAAAGCAAAAGGCATTTCAAGACCGGTATATAATAACTATATACTTCCGCGATATTATTTTATATATTATTATTTGTATAAGAGGTATGACGGATGCAAAAAAAGAAAAAAAAGCAACGAAAAAAGAACAAAAAAAAAACAGAAAAAAAGCAACGGAAAAAGATAAGTAAAGTAACGTAATGAAAAGATAAAAAAATCATTTCTACAAATAACAACGCACCGTAAAGCATCTCACGAACGAAGATTTACGTTTAATCGAGTTGCTTAAAAAATACGAACACACGTAGCAATTCCATCCCGCGTGTTTCGTCATTGGGTGCAGTGCACCGATCCACCGTGCTTAGTATATAGATTATTATATATAATATATATAAATATATATATATATATATATATACTTAACTTGTGATTTTTGTATATAAATAAAAAGAATACATTCTGCCGAAATCCGACCGAGTTTATCCAAATTACTATCGTTCACACTAGTTTAACCCTAACCAACTACCCACCCTTTCTACCGCCACCTATTCTTAAATAACGGCAGTTAACTGTATAAAATTTTCATGTAATTCACTTTATGCAAACGGCAATTATTAAATGCTTAAAAAAAAAAAACTATGATGTATCTTATAATTATTTTTCCCATATTCTTCTTCTTTTTCTTTAAAATATCATAAAACGACTGATTACTATAATTAAATGTTTGTATTAAGATTGTAATTCAAGTGTTATTATCAAAATCTTTTTCTAACAACTATTAATTTTTCTGCTAGTTTATATTTTTTGTTTTGTTTTGTTTTAAATATAAAAATTGTATATAGGATGTTTGTAAAACAAAATCTGTTTCTTTTTTTTTTCTTTTTACTAAAAACACATAGATTTGAGTACAAATTTCATTAGAATCTATAGAAGCACTCACGCCTTTCATTTATTGATTTTGGTTCAGACCATACGTTCGAGTTAAACCGAATACGATAATAAATCCGAAGTCGTTCAACGTTATTTTCGACGTTACTTTAAGTGCAATCTTTGGTACTTGAATTAATCAATGATCAGTATTATAAGAAATAATGGTAGATCGATTGATACTTTTATAGAAATGGGAGTTTTTTTTTCTATTATTTTTTTTCCAAATAGTCGTCGTCCACTATAGCACCATTTATAAAGAGTAATCTTTGATCTTTAATTATTGATTCAAATAAAGACTACTATTATTTTTATTTTTCAAGACTAAAAAACCTGAATTTCCCTTCTCTCTTTCTCTCTTTCGATTAAATGCATTTACCAATTTATTATTTTGTATAATTTATTTTGAAGATGACTTTGGTGAAAGTAAAATACGTATACGAACGATATAAGTTACATTTATTAAATATCGACGAGTATATTTCGATTACATAAGCGAATTAATCGATTTGATATTTATGATATACGACAATTTGCTATTTCCCGATTCATCTTTCTAATAATAATACAATACCTTAAAATAAAGTCTAATTTTATATGATATAATTACTTTTACGAAGTATAAGTAATTATACTCTGATACGAAACATCTTTTATAATAATAAATCGTCTCTGTTCTAAKKWAAAAATATTTGMAAGWGWAATWTTTTAGGAGTAACATTTWGAAKGAAAAAAAAAAAAAAAAAAAAWGATAGAAATTTGTCAATGAAAAAAAAAAGAAAAATATAGAAAGTTTAGTAATAAAGTTATATAAAGTCACATCAATCGTTGAACTACAACGAGGATGCACACGCGTTTGGTCAATAAAATCGATAAAATAAATTACAAATACAAACGTTAAATAAAAAGAAAAGAAGAAAAAAATTACAAACTATACAATATGATTCACATTTCGTAAGAATGTATATAGAATTGAATGCCTTACTAGAAGCCAATGAACGTTTTGTATACACACACACACACACATACATAGATGCATACATATCAATACAAGAGTATTTTTTGTTAAATGTATTAGCAAGATCGTTAAACGTCTTAATTACGAGCTTTCTACTCACGTAAGAAACTAGCAACTCGTGAATAGCATGATGGGGATCGATTATGCACGTATGATTTTGCTCATACCAATGATGGACCTTTCTTTCTGACATACGTATCTCTCTTTTTACTTTTATAATATTATTAAACCGTTACCGCAAGAATGTCAAATGTTAAAATATACACTATTATGTTCGATGACACTTTTCGCAACGCATGATTCACTCCCACGGAAATGACGTAATCACGTATTCGTCGATGAGATGTTAATCGAAATAGAAAAAATAATATTTTCGTTAGAATCGATCTTTTTTTTTCGCAGTGAACACGATCGAGCTATGATCATCCAACATTTATTGATTATCTTAAATATTTTACACGATTAGCTTATTTATTTATTGCTAAATCGAATCAATGATTATTCATAAAATCGTGTTAATGTAAATGCGTTATTGATCAAGCTATTAGATTAGGATTTATGTATACTCGTACGTATATCGTTTTATTATAACATTATCTGTGTTATAGTAATTAAATGTAATTATTAACTGTGTGAATTTTCAATGATAACAAAGCAATCATCTCTCTCTCTCTCTCTCTCTTTCTCTCTCATGGATTCATTCTTGTTTTAAAGTAACACTTTAAACTTGCAAATCGTCTTTATGGATAATCCAGTACTTTCACATATAGTGCTATTTAGCATCATTTCACACTTATGTATTACGACTGCTATTCGTTATGCAGAAAAAACTACGTAGCTTCTTTTAAAGTTGTGTCATTGAAACCAAACAAATGTTAAATAAAACAAAAAAAAATGAAGAATCTTATTATCTTTCAAAGCTGTCGTTAAAATTAATAATTCATTATAATTCATAATAAATGACTAACTTATAATTTTAATTTCTACGCAAATACTTACCACTATATTCGTCTATACACGTTTATTTTTTTTTTCTTCTTCTTCTTTTCTAGTAATATTATAAATCACAAAAATCTTTGCCATTCAATTAAATCAAATAATTATGCATAAACGAGAAAAAAAACACCATAGGCGTGGGTATATTTTTAAACTTATATTTTATAATTAGTTCCATGTATTAAAAATATATATATATATAT